CTGTTTAAATTTCTGAACTTCAATACAAGTTAAAATAAAATAGTATTGGAGTCTTGGGAGGCAAACAGCTATATTCATCAGGACAGCTGAACCTCCTTATCGATAACCAGGTCCAGGCTGGGTATAGCCCTGACTAAAGGCAGGACGATTGCGTGCATAAGGGTTAGGCCCACTTGGAGGAGGGGCCATGGTACTTCCTGGAATTTTTTAATTTGAATTAGCCACATTTTCTTGTTTTTTTCTGTGTCTTTTTGTTGTTGAACATTGGATATTTGAATCTGATAATGTGTTTACTCTGGGAATTACCTTTAGGTCTTTACATTATGTCACTTGTTCAGTGAATTTTTCACCGCTTATTTGAAATTACAGGCCCTTGTCTTCATGAATGCTCTCTGGTTCATTTAGTTCCTTAATCTTTATAGTCATCCACATGCCCTGTATATATTGCTTATTTTCTCTCTCCACTGAAATGTAAAAGCCAGAAACATAGGGCTTTTTTTTTTTTTTTTTTTTTTCAGTCCTTTTGTTTACTGCTTTACTCATGGTACCTAAAACTTCGAACATATAATAGGCCTGAGTTAATATTGTTAAAAAACTGAATTAATAAGTGGAGGGTGTGTCTAGGTTAACCTGGAGTAGATTCTTAGTATATATAATATGGTTTTAGTTTTTGTGTTTTTGAGACAAGGTCTTGCCTTGCAGTTCAGGTTGGCCTCAAACTCATTATGTAACCGAGGCTGGCCTTGAACTCACTGTGATCCTCCTGCCTCAGCTTTTGGTGTGCTGGGATTACAGATATGTGCCATCACACCTGGTTTAGTATTATTTATTTATATCTTAATCTCACAAGGAAGTAGAGGTGAAAAAGTATCTAGTAGACAAATGTCAGCCTGTGAGAATGGTTTAGATTGGAAGAGAGATTTGAGTGAAGACATAGGAGCAGATGTCACACTTTACAGAGCAAGAAAAGAGAAGGTACTGGACTTTGGAAATGCATACATGGAAGGGTTGGCGCCAGGTGAATTTGAGATCCTTATCGGGTCTTTGTGAAGCTGCTGCCCTCCTCCCATAGCATTCAGATGTCTGCGAGCCCAGGCCAGGTCTACCTAGTCTCTTTGTTTGTCAGGTCTAGACTGCTTGGATCCCGGATTCTGCCCTTCACAAGTCTCATCCTGATTCTTCTCTTGGCTGTACCACATGCTTAGGCTTTTCTATGTAAAGGAAGGCTAAGGAAGGAGCAGCTGTTTGTAGGCCTGTAACTGGAGTGGGCCCGAGGGGGCGGGATGCTCATCTGCATGTCTTTAGGGGTGGAGTGGTTTAGTGTGGAGCTGGAGGTTGCAAGCTAGGGAAGGCAATGCAGCCTTCTAAAATCCAGCTTGAGTCTGATATTCAGAATCAGAATGTGCTGATTGTACAACATTTGTGTTGTTTTAAAACTGTTTGTCAAGGTGGGAAGAGAGAATAGTAGTTGAACAGCTTTTTGTCTTGACTTAAAAATTTAAAATATTTAGACGTTATATATAGGTTTCCCTTTGTACTTTTTTTTTTTTTTTTTTTTTTTTTCTGCAGAACCGGGGATTGAACTCAGGACCTTGCACTTGCCAGGCAAGTGCTTACTCTACTGAACTATCTCCCCGGCCCCTCCCTTTGTACCTTTGCCCCCAAACTCTTGAAAATCAGGTTGAGTCTGCAAAAGGAAACTGTAGGAGTAGGGAGGGAAGGACAAGTAAACTCAAGGTAGAGTTTCAAGCAAAAATGAGTCATAGTTTTAAGCTTTAGGTTCTTCATGTGTTATGAAAACAAGTATATCCTTTGGACTTGACAACATTTAGTGAAAGTTTTAGTCAAGGAAGGAAGAATACCGAAGAAATCAGAACATGAAGACAATATAAAAGATTTCTTTTACTTTATCTGAAAATGGAATTATAGCAGTAACCATGGAGGTAGGCTGAATTGTGGAAAAGGAGTTTTCCACTTTTAAGATGAGAGGGTCTTAGAAATATTTTTGTGAAGGGAAAGGAGCCAGTGTAACAAGGTTCAGCAACAGGAGGGAATAGCCAATGGAGCAAAGCCCACAACCGAGTGCCTAAATCTTAATAGACAAGGCTTTGCAAGGAGAGGGATTTGAGAAGGTAGATGTTATGCACTGAGGTTGAATTTAGGAGGTGAAATAGCAGTAAGCAACTATCGCATATAAGCAATGATTGTATAGCATTAATGTTGGTTGAAGGTAGTCTCTTGAGAGGGCCAGCCAAATAGCTCAGTGGATTAAAGCGCCTGCAAGCAGGTTTAGGGCCCAGGACTGCCATTCCTGTCCCGCCCTAGGACTCGCTGAGATAATTGAGACTGAGTGTGGTGGTGCAACTCTAATCCAGCTCTTGGGAGACTTTAAACAGGGGAATCACTCCAAGTCTAATCTAGTAATGAGACCCTGAACACCCTGTAAACCCTTCCTTAAAATATAGGGAAAAAAAATAAGATAGTCTCTTGGATTAATTTTTTGCTTTTAATCCTCAATTCATACTCCTGGAGAGCAAAGGTTACACACTGTAACCATTTACTAAAAACTTGCTGGTTGATTGAAATGTAATCTATGATACGAGGCATATGTTATGTATGTTGGGTCTGCTCTTAATAATTGCTATTTAGTAGTGACTGAAAATTTGAAGTTTGATTAAAAAAAAAACTTGATTACACAGTAGCATAGAAATTATTTTTTAGGGGCCGGGGAGATGGCTCAGTGAAATAAGCACTTTCCACCTGAGTTCAATCCCTGATTCTGCAAAAAAAAAAAAAAAAAAGAAATTATTTTTTACTATATTCATGTAAATATGTTATCAAGCTTTGGTGATAATGTATTTTAATAAGTATTTAGTATATAAATCATGACTATTTTGGGCAAAATGTTTTTTTAAATAAAATTATATTAATACTCTTTTTTCCCCTTCTCACTAGTAGTTCCAAAGAACTGCTGGTTCACATTTTAGCCCTTGCCAAGTTGTGAAAATAGTGAAGGATGATTAAACTACTTAACATTCGAATTGTAAGTAAAGTTTATTTATACTATTACTGTGTATATTTCAAAACATTTTGGAAATAGTCACTCTCTTATATGATAACAATGGCCTTTTGTGAAATAAGACTGAATTTTTCTTAAATTTTCTTAGGATACAAAGTATTCTTATCTCAAGTTTGTAAAATGAAAAAAAGAGACTAATAGGACTGAATTATTCTTAAAGAGATGAAATTTCTGCTTTTGTTTAAAAGGTTTTGTTTTCTAAAATCTAATGGAAATTCTTTATTAGTTTACATTTGTATGATAGTAATTATCAAACTCAATAAAAAGGGATAATATAATGGAATGATTTATTAGAAATGTGTATTTTTCTCTTTATGCTTTTTCTGTATTCTTTAGGTTTTTTTTTTTTTTTTTTTTTTTTGTAGCCAAGGACCCAACCCAGGACCTTGCACTAGCCAGGCAAACAGTTTTGCTGGTATTTTCTTCCTTAACCTTGTTAGTTAACACAGGTACCATTTCAGTGCTCATCTGTATTCTTTGGATTTTTTTTTTTTTG